GGGCAATTTCATGACCTAATGGAACTTTTCCGTATCGGAGGCAACTCACCCGACACAAATTATCTGTTTATGGGAGATTATGTTGACCGCGGTTATTATTCCGTCGAAACGGTTACTCTGCTCGTTGATTTGAAAGTCCGATATAGAGATCGTGTTACTATTCTTCGCGGGAATCACGAATCTCGACAGATAACTCAAGTTTACGGATTTTATGACGAGTGCTTAAGAAAATATGGAAATGCAAATGTGTGGAAATTCTTTACAGATCTTTTTGACTATTTACCGTTAACTGCACTAATTGATGAACAGGTCTGTGCCTGAAACTTGTGATCTTTTTTCAAGTCGTCCGAGTTTTACGTACCGAGTATTAAATTTAATACTAATGTTATTCAAACCATTTTTCGTTATACAATTCAGATATTCTGTCTTCATGGTGGTTTATCTCCGTCAATTGATACGCTCGACCATATTAGAGCATTAGATAGGATCCAAGAGGTACCTCATGAAGGTCCTATGTGCGATTTGCTATGGTCAGACCCTGATGACCGCTGTGGGTGGGGGATATCTCCCAGAGGAGCAGGTTACACATTTGGGCAGGATATATCGGAAGCATTTAATCATAATAATGGACTGAATTTAATTGCGAGAGCTCATCAATTGGTTATGGAGGTAGGGAGCATTGGTAGATGAGAAGATTATTACAAAGAATATATAGATGAGTTTCCGTCAATACGAATCTGCGCTATTAATGTAAGGATCGAGTTGATTATTGATCACGATTTTATGGATTTGGTTCAGGGATATAATTGGTCTCAAGATCGTAACGTGGTCACTATTTTCAGCGCTCCCAACTACTGTTATCGCTGTGGCAACCAAGCAGCTATTATGGAGATAGACGAACATTTGAAATATACATAGTTTGTATTTCTGTTGCGTTGTCTGCTATATACTTTATTTCGATCTTTATTTCTATAACTAATATATGTTTGCATATTAATAACACCACAGCTTGCAGTTCGATCCTGCCCCAAGAAGAGGCGAACCACATGTAACTCGTCGAACGCCCGACTACTTCCTGTAGTATAACCGAGGCTTTTATTGAAATGCCAAGAATGTTCCTGATGAATGATGAGAAGGAAAAGGTTAACGTTAAAAATAAACGAACACAACCATTTATATTTATAATGATTATTTTATTCCATAATGCTTTCTTGGTCATTTATCATAGAAGTTAAATTTGGAAAAAAGAGCACTAAACGTATCTTTTTTTATGATTTATTTTATTTTAGAATACTTTCCTGTAAAATATATTTCTCAACGTAAATTCATGTCCACGAAATATGATTTTGATATATATTTTCTTTTTCGGTGTTAAAACAAAGATTCAGGCACCCGAAAATTGTTATGAAGAAAAAAGACTTCTTTACTCTCTTTTTCTTATATCAGGAAAGCGCAAAAACGGTTTTCGACTATTAATAAAATTCTTTGTCCCATTTCCCAGAACAGTTATTCAGTCTTCTGGCAACAGCAGTCTACAACATCTCCCTCCCCCCTACCATCACCGAGCAGCCAAATATCTTAACGCTAGGCGATCAAAAGAAGAAACACTATCATGCTAGACAAGATATTACGCTCACGCAACTTGAACAATCCAACCTTAACAACGATGATTGGGTGATCCCAATTCTTAGCGTATATTTTGGCTAGCTTTTGTTTCATAGAGTTATTTTTTACACTTTTGTATTACAATTTATTAACATCATTTTTACACACATCTTAACTAGTAGGAGCTTGACACTTTTTGATATATTAATGTGGCAGATCGGTTCCTGTAACTTTTTCGATTCTTTGGTTCTTGCCGTCAATATTAGGAATAGCGAGATTTTCACGCATTCCATACGATCTGCTGACTTCAAATAAATAAAATCAATCAGTATCGTTATGTTTGTTGTCCAAAAACAAATACAGACTTTACACTTTAATAAATGCTAACTTAGACAATAATTAACTAATGCTAATTCCTTAGTTGCTGGATGTTTTACAGATACCGCGTTTAGTGGTCACCATTGTCAAGTACCACAATGCAGGACTTGCATATTGATCAAAAAAAGTTACGCACGTGCATATACACTCCTAAACCGTTTTCGTGTAACTCTCGTGATGAGCTAGCGTGGTAATTAATATTAATTTGGCGCGCGATTAAAATTTGAAAATGTTACTTAAAGTTATAATGTTTTTAATGTACACTCACCTACCAAAAGTATACAACAACCGATAAAAGTGAGATCAAATTTAAATTACTCAGCAAGTAATGATGCAAATTTTGACCAAATTGATTGCAATTAAGCTATCAAGTTTTTGTCTTACATTTATTAATATACATATTAATATATCGAGGTTTGCTTTTTAGGTAATAAGATTGTATAATTATACATTAAAATTTTTTTACTTTTATTACTGTTACTGAAAATAACAAAGTACTATGTTTTAAAGCATAGGCCCGAGATAAAATCTATAAAAAAAATTGGTTCATTATCTTAAGTATTTGTACAGATACATATTTTTTTTCCATAAAAACCTTATAAAAGTAAGTATACTTCCATAACTACTGCTGAGACATACTAAAAATGCCTTAAGAATTTTGGTTTGCAACCCATTTTATTAAATTTCCATGGCTTAGATGTGATCAACATAGGGTTAAATTGCCGTTTGCTGTGATAACAGCTTCTATTATATTATTCATACTCTTTAAATTTCTATAAGATTCCACTCAGTTTGGAGAAAATTCATTAACTCCTGTTCATTCTTTGGTGGAAGCATTCTCCCTTGAAAACGTCTTCCCAATCCATCCCATAAATGTTCAATAGGTCTGTGCTTTTATCTCTGATTGTTCGAGAAACTGCCGAGTCATGTGACTTGTATTGATTGGGGCGTTGTCATGTTGGAAGATATAAACGGCTTTTTTCGGCCGTAAACCCCAGTTTATTCCAAGTAAAAATGCCCAGACCATAACACCGCCTCCACCATGTTTGATTGTAGGAACAACACAGTCAAAATTATATCTCTCATTCGGAAATCTCCGAACTCGTATTCTGCCGTCATCATTTTTGAATAAAGTAAACCTTGATTCATCGCTCCACACAATCATCCCGTTTCTCTTTAGCCCAAGCCAAGCGATCTTTTATATTTTTGCTAATCAGCAGAGGCTTATGTGCAGCAATACGGCCCCAGATCACGTAACTTTCGGACTTGCTAACAACCGTTCCACTTGATTTAGTCAAGTTTTCACGAATTATATTAATTGGTTGTTTGCAATCACTTTTTACAATCTGATTTAACTGTCTCTTATCTCTCTCTGTTAATGTGCAAGGTCTGCCACTACGGTTTGCAGCTGTAGTTGCCTTATTTTCTTTATATTTGGCAATAACAGTATGCACAGTGTTTCTGGAACAACCTAATTTCTCACTAATCGCTGTAACGCCAAATTCCTAGAACCAATGATAAACCACGCTCAAAGTCTGTTAATTCAGGTTTTAGTCTTTTGGTCATGTGTATAAAGATGTAAACAAAAGATGTAAAATCGATTATCTTTGTATGTAGATAGATATTTATGGTAATAGGATTACAGTATAAACCTTTTAGAGAAAAGTAAAAAAAAATTTATATCTCCACACATATCCAAGATATTCTAGCAGACTTTTTTAAAAAAACGTATCAATGTAGTGCTTTAAAGTAATAAAAGAAACCGTTATTTATTATGTCCAATAATTTAACAAAAAATTTCTGCTACGTATAAATTCGCCGATTTACCCAAAATATGTGCCTAGTAAAAAACTTGATATTTAATTACAATCAATGATAGTTTATTTGGTCCAAATTTCAGAATAGTTGCATCATTACTTGTATACTTTTGGTGGTGAGTGAGGCTTGTATCAAAGAATATGAAACTAATTTACATCAAACCACAGCACAATCAGAAAAAGAACAAAGTGAAAAATTGCACTTTATATTTCAAAGTATCTGATATTAGAAAAGAATTCTAACCAATAATCAAGAAAGAAAGAAAAAAACGCCGACAAAATAGCTTTACGATAAATAATTTACTTTCCCTACCTACATTTTTGCGTAACTCTGACGACGGTGTTACAAGAAATTGGCGTTGGCACTTTCATCCAAAAAGTGCCAACGATGTGCACTGATGAGAAACGCCAACAGATTGAACATAAAAGAGACTCGACTTTCCGCTAGATTGAGTGTGTTCGAATACTTTCGATTCTTTATTATTATTCTTATTTCAATAAACGAGTAGTTTTATACTCTAAAATACATTACTCATCATCGATATAGTCGTGAACCACTAATCGCTATATCGATTAGGAATACCCGTCTCTTGTCCTGCGGATATCCTCGTGGCATTACGATTGTTATTCTTAAGTGAAAATGCATTTTTGAAGGAAGAGTCGATTAACTCGAGGCCGAATAACCGTCTAGGATTAGTGTCTAGTGTCTACCAATCGACACAAATCTAGCTTACAGGTCAGTAAAAGTAAGAGAAACTACAGCTCCGTGTAAATCTCAAGATCAACGATCGATTGCTTTCCCTGCGATTGATGACTCAACACTGTCGTTTTTAACTTCAATTTGAGTAATTGAAATGTTTTGTTGTTCTTTCAACTTTTTTTCTTTCTAAATTTCCAACAATTCTTGCTTTTGTTTTCCATGCCAATCTTTGGCCAACATAACTTTGAGTCATTGGCTCCATTACTGACTGGCTCAAAACAATTTATTATATTTCATATCCCAAAAACTTTCGCAGTTCACTGTATATCGCAGATATACCAATAACAGCTTTACAACGAACCCCGCTCATCATGCAACCAATAGGAATAATAGTTCCCGCGCCAAGTTACACAGTTTTGCCTTCTCATTGTTATCTGTAATTGTATAATTGTACATTCTCGTATAAACGCAGGCTCTGCTCCCACATTACTTACATGAATATGACAGAGTTAGAACCAATCACGCTTATTCGCAATAACAAGTTTATTGAAGTCGAAGAGAACTTCGTATCTCACGAAAAAGGCACGAAGAACCGTGCTTCTTTCCAAATTGACAATCTAAAGGTATGTCTTAATTCATTAAGCGAATGTAGTCTCTTCAATTATACACAAACAAGAATACAGTGAAATTGCAACTTTAGGGACCGGTTGATTCCATATCGTTAATAACCACTTTCTTTCCGGAAGAAAGACACAAATTTGATGTGAACGTTACTGAATACAACGGGCAGTCAGCCAAGGTATAACTTTTTTTGCCAATGTGGTCTTACAAAGGGGATACCAGCATACCATTGTTAGGTTTTTAAAACAGCTGCCGTTGCTTATTGCTTAATATGCCTACTCTGTTGTTGATAAAGGTCAACATAGAATTTACCGATGAATCACACGAAGATCTCATAAATCACATACGAAGCAAGGACAGCGCCCTGAATTCAATTTCGCACAACGGTATCTCTGACTGGATTCCTACAGACTCGGTGTCACTCGGAATTATTTATTCGTCCAGCGATAAGGGTAAAGAAAGGGAAGTAAAAGTAGAAGATTATTATGAGGAAGAGGAAGAGGAAGAGGAAGATCCGTATTCGATTATTCGCATCGATGAAGCGGATTCGGATGCATGCGACTTCGAGTGGTTGGATAGGAAAATACATGAATTGTCATGCGTCTTCCAGAAGAGTATGGACATCCCACAGGACATATTAGAAGGTTTATTCCACTCACTTTTTCCAAGGCGTCATACCAAAATAGAGTTACTCGAAGCAGGAGTTATTCTATTTGGAGCACTAAACACCAACGCTAGAGTGAAAAACAAAATCATACGGCAAATAATGAAGAAAGTTACTGCTCTTGTTAGCACAGGGGCGCTATCCACAAATAAAGTGGTTCGTTATCGATATTTATTTTTGGACCACATTGTTTTAGTATAGTCACTCTATGAAGCTCAGACATTTTCTACCACCAAACTTTTGTTAGGCAGTTGATCTTACGTTAAATTTAATGTTGAACGTATGGACTCTTATCGGGACTATAAAAAGTATTAATAGTGCCTATGAGCTATTGAAGAACAACGACACCGCTTTTAAAGAAATTTTATCGGCACATAAGAAACATTTCACGGTCTACATAGATCATCTTAACTCTTTGATAACAGTCATCATTAATGTCTTGTCGGAGAAGAAATACGATCTTTTGGGAGGTTGTAATAACTCTATTATTATTCCATGGTAAACTGACTTTTTTGGTGCATACTAAACCTTATTCCCGCATTGTAGATCGGTTAACTCTTTTCGTGAAGGGTGTGGAAGATTTGATGAAACAAACAGAATTTATTTCGGTCAAATGTGATGAGCATTTGAAAAGTTTGGAAGAAGCTTCTGCAGGGATGACTGGAATGACCATTTTACATACAGGGTATGGGGGTATACAATTATATGCACGTATTCAGTCAGATTTGATACGATCATGTTTGCTAATCCGACTTCTTGAAATCAAGGATTGCATTATTTGAGGTTTGGTATGGACTCAGTAGATATAGAAGACGAACCGCTTGGCAGGTAAAAAGCAAGTTTCTCTACATCCCACATATTGTTAGTAATCATCATTAAAAATTCCCTCCTCTTCTTGACACATATAGAGAATCGCAGACTTGGCTATATTTGGAGCCAACACCTATGCTGCACGTAAAGCATATAATGCAAGCCAGGAACTCGGAAACTCAGCCAAATATCAATCAGTAACACTAAAACGTTTCCAACAATTTCATGTTACCTTAACAAAGATGTCAAGTGCGGGCAAGATTGCATTGACTTTTGACCATGACGAGATTGGTGAACAGAGCGATATTTTAATTGAAGAATTCCAGGAATTCAAGACCGAGCTTTGCAAGATGGAGAAAATCTTTAGTGACGTCTAATATATTTTATTATCTTCATATGCTATATTTTTCTTCACCCTTTATGTTATAACAAATTTGGGGGCCGGAAACCTAAACGTTAACATCAACGGTTGCCATATATATGATAAATTGGTGTACAATAAAAAGCATAGATTTACGTGTCACAATGTATGAGACGATGCATTACCGTAATTATATTCAATAGTGCTAAGTGTCACCCGAAATCTTGGCATATTCTTCCATCAACTCTCGTTGTTTCGATGACAATTTCCTAAAATTCAAATTGAATAGTCAATTTTCCGATTCTGACGTTGAATACAAGACAGTTTCTATCCCAAGTATGAAGTATTATCCAAGATAAACGCATATTTTCACGTACTTTGGTACTGTCACCTTAAACGCGACTATTTGATCTCCACGAGACTGCATATTGACCTTACGAGCACCTCGCCCTTTCAATACGGCCTGCTGACCGGGTTGCGTTCCCGCTGGGACTTTAACTTCTACGTCACCATCTACTGTCGGTATGCGAATGTATCCTCCCAATATCGCTGTGTGAAATGGCACCTCTGCATCTACTAATATAGTGGAACCCTGGCGTTTGAATATGCTGGAAGGGTTTACTCTAATTCTTACGTACAAATTCCCCGGTGGGCCATCTGCGTCCAATGGAACATCGCCTTGTCGCGCAATTTTTATGCTCATCCCGTCTTCCACTCCTAATAAAAGATAGTGACAAGTTATGTCAAACAATAACAAGCGATAATACAAAAGCGAGATATAAGACACGTAATGTTCGGGTGTACCGTGTTCAGTTACCTGCAGGAATATCCACAGATATTGATTTCTTTTCTCTCACTCTTCCAACACCGTTGCACACAGGACATTTGTTGCCCGGGCGTATTTTGGTACCTTTGCCTCTACATTCTTTACATGTACTTTGCATATGAAATCCGCTGGCAACAGCAGTCCATTGTAGACCTGTACCACCACATGTAGAGCATTTTTCCGGTTTCTGCGCAGTCTTTGTTCCGCACCCTTTGCAATTCGTGCAAACTGTGACATGCTCGATAGTAATCTCCCGTCGTCCTCCCTTAATAGCTTCCATAAAGGGAACTGTTATAGCTGCCTAAAGAGTGGCCCGATAATCATAATCATGAAAAATTGTTAGTCAAACAAATCATTTTGACTAGAACTTCAGATAAATAAAAACAAGCATCACCTCAACATCATCTCCGACCGCTAATGAACTAAATCCGCCGCCAGGCCTTCTACTGAATGCAGCACCACCAAAGAATTGGTTCATAAAGTCTGCCGGCCCAAATCCTGCAAAATTTTCAAAATTAGGGCCACCAGGGAAACCCCCTGCTCCTGTTGGTCCGTCACCTATTTTATGACCCGAACGTTGGGATATACCATAAATCATTTATATAAAATCTATCATAATTACTCTAATGACGTGACACACCGGTAAACGATGAACCAAATTGATCATATTGTGCTCGCTTTTCTCCATCCGAGAGAACCTGAATAAAAACTCGCTATTAGTACCGAATGCACGTCAAACGGGATACTCAACTTGGAAGACAAATAGTATCATGAACGCATACATCGTAAGCTTCTTGAATCTGTACAAACTTTTCTTTTGCATCAGCGCTTTTGTTCGTATCTGGATGATATTTCTTGGCAAGCTACAAAAAAAAAGAGCCCACCCACATCGATTAGACTCCACTAAAAAGAAACAAATCAAGCCGATAACTTTGGATACATGCGGCATAATAAGCTTTCTTGATTTCCGATTGAGGCGCGTTCCTCGGTACTCCTAAGATTTCGTAGAAATCGTTTTTGGCCGCAGCATTTGCTGATCATAGAAGCGTTCCAGATCAGACCCGAAATGCATATGTATATATAACAAAGGCGCATAAACATCGGAAAGATACCTGATCCATGAAAGGATCGCTGCACGCGAGAAGCAAATTCGGTTTAACCTTGGTGTCGTAAATCAGGATCATCATCAAAAATAAAGACTTGGGACGATCTAATAACCAACGTTAAAATTTACACTTACAGTCTGAGCATAAGCGGATGATATCCTTAATACGTGAGAGCATTCTGAATATTTGACAGGAGAATGACATATTATATGTTAGTCGAGTAAAATAACGAGCTCCCTGTATTTGCTGGATCATAATCCCCATAAATCCTACGTGCAAAGTTCAATTGTCGTAAGACTCCGTGACGGGTCTGTTGGTTGATCAAAGTGTAAGTTGAATGAAAAAAAAGTCGAGCAGTGGCCCTTTTGAACAAGTGTTGTACTGTAATCGAGCGCTGAAAGCCCGTGTGAGTTGTCGTATGACATATCGAGGCTATGCAACATAGTCCAAGGCGAAGAGCGTTTTGTGTTGGTATCATCTTAACGGTAAATCAAAAATATTATCGTTATGGTAATTAGCAATTCTACCCATGCAATAAAATCAATGACACGAAAAAATTTTGTGATCATCGGACGGACCTCAGGGAACATTTCGGAAGAATTTCATGGGTCTCAATGTACTTACGTATGCAGGGGTGTCTCCATAAGGCAATAAAACCTTTCGCAAAAAAAGCAAATAATCTTTGCCGCAAAAGTCAATGAATCGACTCTGAAAAATTGTGAAAGGCGGGAGCCGCGTGACCCGCAAGGGTTGGATCAAAGATTGATCTGCGAGACAGTTACACGGACCAAGCGTGACTATTATATAAACCAACTTGCAAAACCATATCTCCTCCACTCGTTTCTCACGGGAAAATGTTGCGTTCCCCCACCATCACGCAAACCACATTACCGGTGCCGACTGTTCCTGTTTCTGTTCACCCACCAGTTCCAGGAGAAAATCATCCTTACTACGGAAATATCCACAATAAACAAGTAAAACTACCGGCGGGTGCCTTCAATCAGCAAGCGTCCAGTTCTAGTTACAGGCGAGGTTCAAACGCTGACGAGACGAACATTCATGAAGCTGCCGCCGCTGGTAATTTGCATAGAGTATGTCAGTTGCTCGAACGGCAAGACTCGGGGGCAGATTCTCCTTTTATGCTCGCAAACGAGGCCACTCCGTCCTCTGGCCTGACACCACTACACTACGCAGCCTCGCGAGGTCACTTGCAGGTGGTCAAATGGTTAGTCGACAACGCAGGCGCCATTGTTGATTTAGAAGATCAAACCGGAGAGGTATTAATCATACGATCTGATGAGAACGTGGATGAACGTCTTTTTTTTATATCGGACTTTTATGCCTAATTTCAAATGCCTTATATCAACACTATTTATTTTATTATCATAGACTGCTCTCCATAAAGCGTCGTTGGCGGGATTCCCGGCCGTAGTGGCATTCCTTCTGCGACGAAACGCTCATGTTGAGCGGCAAGACAGTGACGGGTGGACTGCCCTCCACAACGCTTGCGCACAAGGATACATTAAAATAGTCCAATATCTTTTGGAGCACACAGATGCGGATGTTAATGTTCAAAGCCACAAAGGACATACACCCTTGAGTAAGTTATGTCGACGCCGTAATGAGAGGTTTAAACTTTTCGAAAATTTTGTAAGAATGCATGCAAACATAATTAAACTGATCATGAAACGTGCCGTATTTTTTGCAGTGAACGCGTCATCTAAAGGTCATATAGAAGTTGTCGAATATTTATTAGGACGCGGAGCAGACCCGCTATTAAAGAATTCAATTGGTGAAGCAGCATACGATGTTGCTGCAGTAAGCCAAGAAATTTATATATGCGAATTACTTGAGAAGGCTGAACGAGATTGTTGGAAAGCAAAGAAGGCTTTATCCGAACGTGCGTATTCTAAGCAATTAGCAACAAACAAACTTTTCAGTGCTTCAGTGTTTTGCTATTTATCGTCTTTCAACATTATTTATATTCCGGTGCTTTTCCAGAATTATCTTTTAGTGATTTTACATCACTGTCGACAAATCAGCCGTACGATGTCTACGCATTTCATATCAACGTACCCATTGTGATTCACGAAAATGAACGAGCATCTTCGTCATTTCAAATGCTTCGCGGTGGGACTGCCAAATATTCTGCTAATTATTTACTAAAAAGCGATGTGCGCGGACCATGGTCACTTCCTAATGGAAAACCAACCACAAAGCTTGCGATCGATCTTCCTTCAAATTCCCGTTCTTCGTCTGCATCTGTCATTTCGAGTTCAAGTTCATCTAATGAGTGGTTCTGGTTGACTGATTGGCAGATTGATATGTCATATCCACGCGTAGATGCAGACGGATGGCAATACGCACGGAGTTTTGATGATTCTGATTCTTTATGGTTACCCGCTCCACCGGCTGGTGCGAGTAATTGGGTCCGCCGTCGCAGATGGGTTCGCATTACAAAGCGACAATTTGAAGTCGACGGAAACGTGGCGAGCGATCTCATGCGTCAGTCGCTTAATTACGTTGAGCGTGCTGAAGCTCTTTTGAATAAGCATGGAAATATCTCATTGACGGAACAAATAGCCCGACATAAGGATGCGATTGAAATCTTAAAAGAAGGAATCAAAAGTTCGTATCATTATCTTCGTAGAGTCTACTCGTCTTGCTTATATTCTTGAACTTACATGATTTTTTCTTCAAAAGCCGATGACAATGGACGACGCAAAACTGAAGCCAATTCATTAATTACTAACTTCTTATCTCGTGTCGAGCTCCTACATGCAATGGAGCAGCAATCTGCAAATGAGTCCAACGCAACAAATCTTTTTGGCCGGCCAGGAATGAACAGATCGACGAGCGGTACTATTACACATTTCACCAAGATTAAAGCTCCGTCAACTACAAGTCTCAGTAGTTTTCAAACTATTGAGGGTCCATGGTCGGCGAATGCTCAAAATATTCACAATGAGGATGCGGATAGCTCATCCATCTATGAGAATGATTCTGTGTCTATTCTGTCTTCAAGGCCTTTAACTTGGGAGAATGATAAAGACGTACCCGCGTGTAGACAATGTTCAAGAAAGTTTAGTTTTTTGATTCGAAGGCATCATTGCAGGTATGCATTGTAGTAATAATGAAAATATAACGGCTCGTGCACTTACTGCACAGTTACTAACATCGACGTGAAAATTCTTAGACGATGTGGTCAAGTTGTATGCGACCAATGCTCAGCGTCAAAAGTTAAACTACCTCCTCACCAAGTTCTACGTGATCCAAGTGGTTCTGAAAATACGACAAGATCAACACAATACCATCGTGTTTGCGATAATTGTCTGGGTCGTTCAAGATCGAACAGCTTCGCATCAACGAGTATTACGGCAGGATTTTCACCACTTCATCATCGTCGACGGTTAAGCAATGAATATGCGAGTGAGCAAACTGAGCATTGGCAATGATAGTCAGAGAGGCACTGGATTAAAGACTGGGCACAGTCTTTTTCTTTCATAACTTGTCACTTAACGTTTGATCGCTAGTGAGCTCTCCTTCTCGAGAAGTTCAGTTTGTTAGGACGATTTGTATTTTGCTCAAAGGTCACACATAGTCTTTGATGCTTGTGATAATTTGTAGAATATTTTTTCTTTAGATAATCAGTATTTATGTTATTGAAGAAAAAGGTGGTCATTGTTAGCAGCTTTATGTTGCAATACACTTTCCTTCGAGAATCCTTCGATTTAATCTAACGCTAAATAAAATATAATATATGTAGAATCGCCATATTAGCAAGATTCTTGTCACATTCCCTTTACTTGCATTAATAAGCAGCAACTATTCTTGCTCATAATACACAATAGTACTCTGGTCAACAGTTTTTGTCTGAACGACTCCAATTTATAATGTGCGTCATTCTACTATATCCTTCGCTAATAATTTATGTTTACCCGTCTGAGCTATAACTGCCTTATTTATATTTAATCACGATAGTCGTGGTTCGCAAATTTTCGTGAGATGTTTGGTCGAGTATTTACGTTATGATCTATTCACCATTGTTGATGTCTGCTGCAAATATGTGATAAACACAATTAACGTTAGCGTATGTGTCTATGATCCGAAGTATTTCAAATAGTTGCCAATTCTAGTGGAAATTTTCTCATCATTATTATATATGAAGCATTGTTTATGGTTCCATCATTGAGGCAACGTTGTTTATCTATCGATAGTGAATATGCAGGATTGTGCGCTAGTAGATAATAGTTAGCAATGTTGAGCCATTAACTTTTTTAATAAAAGACATCACGTTTGATGATATTTATCAATCACTTAAAGATGGATTTATTTTTATAATAAATAACATATACATATACATATACATGGATAGGAAATGAACACACTAATATTTCCAAATCACAAAATCACCACCGCTGGGCCCTCCAGAGCCCCAATTTCCAAATACCGCGTTTGCTTTCTTAAATCCGGTATAAGTCCACGCGTGAGTAGAATATCTCTTGTTGAAGCTGACCGAATTGTTAGCATTGATTTTTCCATCAATGGTAAACGGACCAACTACATCTGTACCAGAGCCAGTGATAACGTCGTTGCCATATTGATCTTTCTGTGCATTTAAGTAGATCTGCATCAGGCCGCTGCTGTTGTCCGCACCAAAGTAATATCCGCGCCAATTTCCCGCATTCGATTGCTTTTCGAGAAGATCACTCTGTCTAATCACGAAATTACCCTGATTTGGATTGGCTGTAGTGCCCCAGTTTCCAGCGAACACGTCTCCATTGAATGTGCCTTGGTAGAGCCAGGCCATATTGCCATTGACATTGTTGTACTGCTTGGTAAAGATAATAGCTTTTGATATCCTATTATAGGTGCCGTTATTAATAGAATAGGGCCCTATACCATCAGTTCCACCGCCGCCGATCGAAAGAGTCGACCCGTCAGGGCTCCCAGTCCCAAAGTTCAATTGTACATTCGACACGTTTGATTGGCTTCCTCTATCGGTGTAGTAAATATCATAGTTGCCATACCACCAAGCTTCCACAAGACTTTCTGTTGAAATGCTGGCAGGCTGGTTGAGGGCTGTGGCTATAGATAAAAAAGCAAGCCAATTAATCAGTTTCATTTCCTGTAAAGTAAACCAAACAAGCTTCGTTTTTAAATAACACTTACCGACAGCAAATGGATATTGACAAGTCTCTACTGCATCGTATTCGCTCAAAAAGTCGTCATATCTCATAAAGAAAGAACCATCATCAGCGAGAGAATACTTCAACTCTGGTATCGTAGTACCAGACTTATAAGGCGCCCAGTCATTGCTAGAATCTGACCACGGGCCTACAAAGTAAAATAATCATTACACAGTCAATAGGGCAGTTCAGAGAAAAAAGTGCTGTAGTGACAGTTATGCTTACCATTCCATTCAGTCTGTGCCCATGGATTACGGAGCTCGATCAAGTTAGTACCATGAAAATTAACAGCGCGACGGAAAGTATACATATGAGTCGGGACCAGGCCCTTTATATCTTCACCATGACCATTTGGGTTTGCAGGGTGATGTTTCTGGCGACTGCAGGCAAATATAGTATCAAGATTCTTGGAGGGATTTTTGGCGGCAAGGAATGCATTCCAAAGTTCGGCTTTCAACGTGGGATTTTGTTGTACTTGGCGGAGATCGTAATTCTTGGGGTTTATGCCTCCAATACCAACAAGCGCTAAAAAGGGCAAGTTATGGAATTATTATTTTTACGTGTTCAATCTGCATAAACGAGATTATAATTAAATACCTCTTTGTCCCCATGAACCATCGATACTTTCATAGTCACCGTTGATCTTGGCAAATGCCTCTGCGAAAAATTCAAAGTTAGACTATTTCGAATTGGCATAATTAAAAATGTGATGGAAAAAGGAGATGCAAACTCACTTTCAAGAAGCGGAACCCAACCTTCATTTGCCTTGGCCGCGCTACAAAAGTATAATCAATCGTTGAGTATTGTGTACCCAATATATATATTTTATGGATTTTTAGTGAGAGATACCTGAACGTCAAATACGAGCCATAGTAAAACAAGTAATCATCGACTATGGTGCCAACCCAACCATCGTTGTAGAATACAAATCCATAGATCTATGTGAAATTTAGTCCATTAGTAAATAAGAATAATCTCAAATTATTAATTGAGATGGAAAATTTCCAATCCTATACCTTGGCTTGTTCATTAATAGAGACAGCAACGGATGGAACAAGACCGGGAACATCAGCGGCTCCAGCAAGAACTGCAAGAAACCAGCAATCGCCAACTTGACCTTTTTGACAATAATGTCACGTGAGAATAAGTTATGCCAAAAATGGAAAAACACGTGTAACGCAACGGACCTTGTTGAACATCACCCGGCGCAGTTCCGTCGACGTAAAATCTCGATTGTGGGGACACGGTACTAAGACGTTGGACCTTATTGAAAGGGTACGGATGAGACGGAGTAAGCGTGGCATTCACGTTGTTTTGGTAAAGCGCAACCATGGGATATTGTGTAATATTCCATTCCCCGTCCGTAAACAGGGCTCCGTTTAGCGCAGCAGCTTTCTAAGAGTTTGAAATAAAATTCCGCAACACATTAATCTTTGTTCGACAAGTTGGAATAAAGTAAATAATAATAAAAAAAGGTAAAAACGTACGGCCTGAGCCAAACGGTTAATTTTCGCGATAGCATCGTCACGCGAGGTTCCGAAAACAAGGGTATCTGTATCTTGTCGCCTTTTCCATTTAGCCTTGAGAACGTCGTATTGTGAGGACATTTCTGATAAATACTGTTAGAGTTTGTTGATGGACTATTAAGCTGATGGGAAAAGCTTGGGTTGATCTTGGAGCAAAACCGCCTCTTTTTATAACAGTCGCATACATTTGGTGTAGCAGTTGGAAATAGAATGGTTGGGGGACAAGAGTAGGGTGAGTTTCCTAGGATATGCATTCCGTGTGTCTTGGCATGTTCCTGTTCGATAAAATATATTTCCGCCATAACAACGGTTACAATTGTGATTGAGGTGGCCAAATAACAAGAATTAACAAAACACAATGGCTACTATATTATATGCAATAACAAGTTCTTCATTGCGATCAGCGCCAGGTTGATCATTTACACAAAGTGCGTAACGTTCTTTAACATGCAATGCTTCGGCTCTGTTGCATTCGCATCCAATTATTGGACAACTTAAAAAAACGTGAATATTATCAGAATCTCAATCAGCATCTTTAACCGTTGGACAAGACATTTTGATGATCCTCACCTGAGAATTACTCGGGTAATACAGAATGCAGTCAATAGTAATTTCCGTAACAAGGGGGGCTTAACTTCAGAACTTCCTTAAAATGCGACATAACCGACGTTACAAAGAAACCAAGCCACCTGAATAATATATCCTAATCAAGTTATTGCAAATTAGTTTTCACTGTTGTATTGTCTCTTGAGTAATTGCGGTTTGGTTAATCAGGAAGTAACCCAGGCAAAGATATGTTACAATCATCAATTAAATTAGAAAGAACTTCCTAATGATGGATGTTTCATATACGCGAAAACGGAAACTACAATGATGACATAATAATAACAAACAAAATATTCATTGCCTTTTTACTTTATTCGAGTTTTTCTGTGTTTCGCTCACGCAAATATTCTATTGTATGAGGTTCTTGAGGGATCCATCTCAAGATAAGTAGTCAATGTTATCTACACGTTAACGCAGAAGATGCACATTCCCTTGACATGCACGGATCATAGGACTTTTCTAAAATCTCTTGTCCGCAAACAACACTACGTAAGTGACAATGATTTTTTGACTGTGTGCCAAAGAATCAGTATCTATGTATCGGTATCAGCAGCTATTGAAAAAAAAAAGGCCCTTTATTATAATATACCCAATTGTTAACTAAGAATTGTATTATTATTATGCTAACAGCTTTTGTAAATGAGACAAACAAGATCAAACACGGGGAGAGAAGCAATTCTTCACTGTTTGCACAACTAATCAGAAGAATTCTATATGAGATAATCTGCAGAAAATTTTTTCATCACAGTAACACACAGTAATTTTAGACTATACCGGATATGTATAACAAGCAATCATATTCATCGACAATCATTTCACAAACAAGTTATCCTTTGGTAGTTAAAATGATCCCGTTTTCAATAAATTAAATTCAGTGTAAGCACCCACCATTAACAACCAGCTTATGATCCACGCAATGTACTTCTATAGAGCTTTTTAATCAGTCCAAAACTTGAATTTAGGTACCATAAAATTCAATTCGGCACTTTAATAATAACCACAAATTGGTAAAATCAAATGGTAGCATTATTTTTATTCTGTCCGCCAGCATTATCACAAGTGTTTTTCAATTTCTTTATTCCTTGCTGGTGTACCTTTGTCGTATGTCAATTGGAATTATGTCCATTCCGAACGGACAAATGTCTGATTGGAATTTACGTCCATTCCGAACTGACATATGTGTCAGATTGGAATGTACGAATACAGTTCGTCCAGCTTGTTCTATCACCATGCTAAGCCATCAGTTTGTTATATGCACACCAGTACTGTCAATTAACTGTACAAGTTAGATGTCAATTTGTAGTTATAAGCCATGTATTCAATCATGTCGTAGAGAATATTGTTAACTGAATTCTTTATACATTTTAATTTTGCGACATAGACTTGAACAAGTAAATCAAACGGCATTTACATCGACAGTATCTTTTGCAATTATCAGTTTTCTGGTACAATAACTATATTCGTGATACATCAAATTATATGCAGTTGGTCGATTACTCCGCCCACTCCTCGCCACCTCCTAAGCTTTTTTACCAATAAACTTATTAGCATGAAAAACAAACTAAACAATTTCGTATAGCTAAATTCGCATCGCCACCATCCACGTGGTTATGGTGCAACTTGGTATTCACTATAGACATACCTTATAGAAATGTAACATTGCTGCAGTTTAGTCAATTTAACAGATTAGATGTAATTGCAAGACTACAGCTCGATGCGCTTGTCGCAAAGCTGCCATCATTTGTAACTTAAACTACCACCCTAATAATCGACAGTGTAGTAATGTTCATTGAATACATCGTTACGTGTAGTATTCATTTTACAGTCAAAACTGGATATAACGATACTTCCGTTAGGTCACATTTTCATAATTATCGTTAATACCAGGAATTCTATTTATAGCGATAACATAATGGTTACGGAAAAAATATCGTTATACACGATATTAACTATCTTGTTTGGTATTCGGTTTTATTGAAAAAAGATTCAATGATATTACAAACTACATTCTGGCTACTTGTTTTCGTAAGGAGCGTACTGTTGATACGGCACTTGCATCGCAATTAAAACCTGCGGGTGGATGAACGAGAAAATTGAACATGTTATCCAAGCTTTCTAACACGTTCTTTACGGAAACAGTCTCTTCCTCATACTCTTCGGCAAGCTCTCCCAGAAAAGGTTTGGGCTTGCTAGAGAGTTTGACACACATCCTTTTTTGTGCAAAGGTCAAGCGTGTTCTCAAACGTTTTGTTGGATATTAATATTGGGTGTTTTCGCTGGTAGTTCGTTTATTGAGTAACATTTGTTTAGTAATACTCGAAATTCGTACCGATGTCACACAACAATATATCGGTATATTAATATGCTACAATAATTTGTACATCGTATACGTATCGTTATACGTAATAACGAGGTTTTAATAGTAAAAATCGGTATAACCAGGTGAAATTAAATAATAATGTTTTGGTAATGACAAATTTTATCATTAGATCCAGTTATCGTTATATACAGGTATCATTATATCCAGTATATTGTTTATAAATACTTGAATCTTACCTCATAATACAATAAGGCATTATAATTATACAAGCAGTAATACCACAAATTCTTGCCATTGCATATATAGATTATTATTCATTCTATACACTAAATTTACAAATATTAGATAACATATATTTTTATGACAAATGCAGTATGTTATATGGGGCAGATTTCAACAAAACCAGATGAAGTGAACATTTGATCATGTGAGTTGAAGGCTGAAAAATAAACATTTTGGTGAGGCTTTGTTTGATTTACAGCTGTGCTCATGTATGAATCCAGGCTATTTTTTAGTGACATTTCATATTCAGATCTATTGCAGTACAACTAAAACTGTTAAATCAAATATCTATATTAATATTTATTTTTTGTGTTACTATTATAAGCAAATGCAATTGATAATTGAGGAGAATGGAATTCATGCTTCCCAAAAATGAATTGTCATTTGACTGGTAGACAGGAAAAAAAACTCATTTCTGTATGAGGGTATAAACACTAATGTTATTCTTTTCCTTCATCAAGTTCACAATACTAATATTATTCCATACACAAAAAACACAAAGATCAATCACAAATAAAATATTTTGTCAACATGTTATAGTTATACAGTATTCCACTTCTGAGACTATTTCATCATATTGCCATGTACATAAAAAAAGACATGCACAAGTTTCTACTCAATATCAATAAATTATAAATGAAAGTATGGTGAGTGAGAACACAATATAACTGAATGAGTTTTATATTTAGAGGTCTTGGTATCTAGACTTTTTCCAACACAATCTGCAGTTCATAGACAAAGCAATGAGGAGCAAGATGATAAGGTGTGTGAGAGCAAAACAACATGGGAGAGGGGGCAAGATGACAAGATCAGCAAGGGAGCATGCAATGGGGAGTGAGATGACAAGGGGAGCAAAGCTTACCTGTAAGATGCAATGGATCCTAGCACACAGTAGTTGATGCATCCCATTGTACAGATGGTAATAGGTAATAGGTAATAGTAAGTGGTTCAAAGTACTCCCAACCAGTCCCAACAAATTGTTAATTTTAGAGATGATTATTTATTTTTACTTATTGGAGATAATAATAAGTGATAAAAATGCAAAAGTCTTTGAAATATTTAATATTAAACCCTACTGGTACTGGGACCAGTTCCCATCCCATGCATTTACCATTGATGGTTATAGGGAGACCCTCCTTTGTTGTGTGATTGAAAAAATATATTAAGTGCTTGCATTGGCCAATCCAACCAGTGCTTTTTACATGACATCTTCACACTCAAATAAATGGTTCAAGTTGGGCTTGATTGTGATGCAAATGAGTTGGATATTCAGCAAATGAACACAGCACTCTGCCTCATTCACTATCACTGGATTAGGATAATGGTAAATTTTAGAAGTTAATGTTAATAGTTCCTGTAATTGCATAAATAATAGCTGATACAGACCTGAATATATCACCTGCACAAAAGTGAAGTCCCCTGGAAACACAACTGGTTGAAGGGAAGGAAGCGGTCTGCTGTGGACAAAACATCCTCAACACGTTTTCCCATCTCCAACCAAACCCCGACCACTAGGAGGGCCTGCTGCCAGTCTCCAGAAGGGCAGTGAATTGCCAGTTCCAAAGAGGGTAACAAATTTACCAGTCCTAGAGGGCGGCGGTATGTTCCCAGGCGCATGGACTGGTCAAAGGGAAGGAAGCGGTCTGCCGTGGACAAAACATCCTCGACACGTTTTCCCATCTCCAACCAAACCCCTACCACCAGGAGGGCCTGCTGCCAGTCTCCAGAAGGGCAGTGAATTGCCAGTTCCGAAGAGGGTAGCAAATTTGCCAGTCCTAGAGGCAGGCGGCCACACGTAAAATTTTTTAGGAGTCGTACGTGGTCTTGGTAGGCTGCGTCCTAGAGGTTTCGAATCCTTTATTGATCACACAGGCTGCGTCCACGTCCTAGATCGTAAAATTCGCGGTCGTACGGGACACAAGTTACCTATTTATGACATAACAGCCAATCATTAATCATGTGATTATCATTCTCCAAAGACGCGTCTGGGCAAAATGGCGACCTGGTCGTCTATAGTCTACGGCGTACGAGTACCTAAAAAAAAACCAGCAACATGCAATATCCGTTGGTGTCGCAACGCCGAAGAAGGATGGCTACTGGCACTTCAGAAAATTACTGAAAAACGAGCGCTAAGAGTCGTCCTGCAAAAAAACTCGCAAGTACCTTTGATGTAAGTACGGGCAGCGAGACGGTAGTTCTGGTTTTCATCTCAACACAGCATTAACTTCTGTAAAGCATGTGAAAAATTCCGATGTTCGACAAAAACAGCAATGGCGGAAACGTTATTGAGAATGATCTCGACAATTGATCGAAAACGATGCAAAGCTTCAAGATCACGAAGAAGAAATCTCGGAAGGCGAAGTTGGTATTTGACACTCTTCCGCTACATGTTTGATACTTGGTCTTTGTCTCATTTAGACTCAGATTTCGACCGATTCTGTTTGCAACTGGATTTTATCAACCGGGAAAAATGTCAACGAGGTGTTGACCACATATCGCAGAAGCATTCCTGCTTCAAGGCACACTTATAGTGAGTCACTCTATGAAAGAAAACATGCTTTTTAGGTATTTCTCCATAATTTCTGTTGAATGAACCTTATCGATAGCCCAGCATATTTCGGAATTTTGGTTCTTTCTGGCGAAGATGTAAAAGTGAAGAGCCTGTTCACAGCGATGAATGGGATGAAATGATCCAGGATTTTCGGCGGAATGTTCAATTAATTGATTTGAAAGAAGAGCATGAGCGGCCTCTATACGAGTTTATGGATAGAATTGCTGAGGTAATGACGCAATCCACACTATTCTTCCTCCATCTTAATTTACCTGCTAAAACAGCCATTTCTTATTATTACTGCTTCTTATTATTACTGCTAGATGCTGAATAAAAACCCTCCTGATTTGATTACCACTATTGAAGGCTGCGCTGTTGAAGTACGTTATTGTCTACATCGATTTCTTTTAAAATGCAGATCTAATCGCCATTTTACAGAATAATAAAAAAATTAATGCGATCCGACGACTTGTTCAAGCATAGTGAGTTTATTTTTTGTTTATTTATTTTTACATGTGGTCGGACTTGCAATAATTGTGAAATCCAGTGCCTATAATCTAGAACGCCTACGGTTACCGATGTCTGAAGCTGTGTTTGGCAGTAATTTTACGAATCTTGTGACCAAAGGGATCCTGACATTCGATCATATTTATCACTACGAGTCCATGTACTGTTAGTTTTTCCTTTTTATGAGAGTGTTTATCAAATGGCAACATTACAGAGGTGAGATCCAGAGTCTAGCCTCAGCAATGATCTCCAACTTCAAAGCGAATCCAACCGATAGAAGCTTAATTGACCAGAAACTGGATTTCGAATCAGCAAAGATCGCTTTGAAGGGCTTATTGGATTGAGGTCAGGTGGTCTTCCTCCGTCACCAAAAAGTAAGAAATGGTCAGATAAATTTGATCTCTCAGTCACATTACGAGATGCCTTGTTAACTGAGGGAATAGAGAACAATGGCATAGCTCTTGACCTGTTTCGTAAACTTTACGTTCTTGGGGCTCACACATATGGTAGGCTTTATTTTAGTTACTCTCTGTAACTCTGTACTGCGATCGTGGATTATCTAACTATTGTTTGTTAGATTACAATTATAATGTCTACGCATTGGATTGGAAAGTGAGAGACGTTTGGTGGTTAGGTCTGTTGAAGAAGGTTAAGTTACCTTCATCGATCGACGAGTTACCAGTTATTGAAAAATTCATTACAACCTTACTGCGTGTCGAGGTAATTTGCTTTCGAGATTTGGTGTCTTATCCATGACTTCCTCTAACTTGTACACGCATTCATTTGAGATAGAATACTTTAGATAATATACAATCAATTCGCAAGCAATATTGATCGAAAAGGCGAGATTATATCGAGACTGTCGTTCATCCACCTACATGATGGATTATTCCATTTGCGAATATAAACGCATAAACCGAAAAAGACGTGACAAATCATGACTGGTGCGAATGTTTATGTAATAGCTAAACATGACGCTGCATAATAAAGACTAAAGGTTTCTTGTGCATGTTTGATCCTTGGATATCACTGTACAAAAACCGTTGTGTCATTTCCATTTAGTTTATCAGATTATGTTGCAGTCTGTTCCATTGCGTTGCAAGAAAGGCCCAATTGACCTGTGCTATCCTTTGGCTTGCTAAGCTAGTTAATAAATTTCCATACAGATGATAAAATTAATATATAGTGGTTATATGTATATGACAAATAGCGAATACAATGGTTCCACCGAGTATGAAAAGCAAATATGTTTCCTGGAGATAGGTTGCAATCGTGGTTGCTCAAAAAAGATTCCGAGAGAAAAGTTTGCTGACTTACGTGAAGCGTTTCTAGTTCTGAGCAAGACATATTTTTAATGGCCCAAAATTGAAAGCAATGAATGGTGGAGAAATAACTACCAGCCGACATAACGCGTACTAATTCCCAACACGGAATTAAGATCTAAGTATTGAAAGCCTTTGCCGTTTTCATAGCACTGAGCTTTGTTTAATCCCGCTGTACTCGATCTGTTCACAACCTCAACAATAAGATTCATATAAAGCATTTAATCAGTCCGAAACTACCATCGCACTTGAATTTAGTGTGTCCAGGTACCATTCAATACTTTCATAATAACCGCAAATTACTAAATATAGGTAAAATCAAATAGTAGCATTATTCTTATTCTGTCCACTCGCGTTATCACAAGTAATCTTTAAATGCGTTTCACCTTTATTCAATTGCTTAATACCATGCTCAGCGTACCATTAGGACCTTTGCCTATTATTTCGTTCTCATCAAGAACGTGACTGTCTCATCTTGAATACCGAATAAATGCACTTTACGTGGACTAAGATAAAAATTTTACTTACTTGTTGATCAGAATGGGGTACGTGAACATTTTGTGCTCAATCATAACTGTAATGAGCAGTAGCAACGTTTATATCAATGGTTATTTTAGTTTCCCATCGCAATACTCGTTTGATGGTACCATGACGCGTGGTATTATACCATTCGTTGCTAGATGTTTTCGAAGTGAGTGCGACCAATTCCTAACATATTAAAATACGTTTTTTGACACAGAGGTGTATTGCGATCTCAGTAGTAAAACGTTCGCTTATTTTCTTTTTAAGACGTCGACTGGCGGTTATTTCTCCGCCATTCATTGCTTTCAATTTGGCCATTACAAATATATCTTAGTAGCTTCCCATTAACAACACATTAGATTATGTTAACTTATGATAGCATGCTTGATTCTTTACATCAATCAAAATCGGTTTAATTTTTTGATTGCAAAGAGGTCATAAACACACTTTATAGAATATGTATTGCACAAGAGATTTCTTGATAATATTCTCAAGTACAGTATATCCTGTGCATAGCAGTGAGCAATCAATATACTTGAATAACCAATTATAAATCAAATTCAGTATTGATTGATTTATTACCAAGCTGCAAAGAGTGTGAAACTACATAGACAAAAAGGTACTAGACAGTGAATCAATAATAGTTATAATAATAAGTGAAGATTATTATCGTATCATTCATTTTCCTCTAACTTATCCAACCAATATAAATCATGTGTTTTGTCCATTATGGCATTTCCTTCAACTCCTGTTGGCCACCTTATGTCTGGGTTTATCTTAGATGTATAGCGATCCTTTCCATGTTCTCCAGCCCAATCAAAATCTATTAACATCCCATGGCAACCTTTATCACTGTTCATTACCATTATATTTGATTTGCGAAGGTCTCCAAACACAATATCCTTACAATGTAGAATATGAATAGCCTTTCTAACACACTTCAAAACATTGTCATATTCTGTTTTATCACTCTGTAGAGTATTAAGTGTCTCACCTTCAACATATTCCATTATTATCATATACCATCCCCCAAACTTTTCTTTGCTAACATAAAAAAGCCTTGGGGCAAGTCTTTCCTGAGCACAAAGATTATGTGCATAAGTATTATATCTCTGACTGAACTTGATAACAATAGGGTAACCATCAGTAGTTTTTCCCTTAAATATGTTTTTTTTTAGAGTCTTCTATTAAATAGTCTTCATATGTAAAGTGTATCACAGTATTACTTTCTGTAACATATTGATGTGGATATGGATATAGTGGCTGAGTAGTGCTGTTGTAGACAATACTTAGTGTTCTGTAATAATTATCTAAGTATTGGGCTGCAAGGCGTATAGCTTCAAAAAGTCGTGCAATGCGGTGAAAATGTCTCTCATCAGGAATAGGTACCAATGGAATAAAATCTGTAATTGGACTGATCACAGGTTTAGTGGTATAAATTCCCCCCAGAACACAGACCCATGGTCCAGCAATAGCAAGAAGCAAAGATGGACAACAACATGATGCCCGAACATGTTTACGCTATGTTGAGACACAATCATTAGTCAATAATTTACAAATTACAAACCTCATATGTTTAATTATAAAAACATACCTGTGGTTGTGCCCAGTATTTTGCATATGATAAAGCCGCCTGGATTGTTGGGTCACTTCTTCCTCTACCTATTTCATTTTTCATTGCAAGAATGACCCGCAATCCAATTTGACCAGATGTGGTAATTGTTTGTAAAATTCCATCACTCTTTGATTTATCTTCATTCTCAACTATGGAGAACTGACCGGTAAGTGATGTCGTATGATCACGAAATGCTTGCAAACGTAAATCTTCTACGTCATAGACCTTTGCCATGATTTCAATAAGTTCAATCGTCCATGCACAATGACCTGTCTGTAATTCAAGCTCTTCGTTGGTATAGTCGTCTAGGAATTTTGAAAAAATTTCGTGATATAAGAAAATTGGGGGACCAACGCAATGGGGGGGGTCGATGATTCAAAATAACGGCGTTCTGTTGCATTTTCAGAAATTCACAATGCTCGGCAACTGATGATGGACTGTCTAGTTTAAGGACTTTCGTTACATTCTCGTGTTCTACAAAAAATAGATGTTTAGACCAGATTAGTAAATTCCATCGACAATAAAGCAAATTTTTGAAAGTCTTGTTCAGATTAAATTGATTATTGCAATAAAAAAAGTTTTATACGTACGTTCTTCTAACGGTCTTTTCACTTTACCAAGCTGGCTGGTGACTTGCGGACGTGCATATTGATCTGTGAAGATGTGGAATAATAAGATCTACAAATGTACACATTACTCTATGTCCCCAACGCCTGAGTCACAAAGTCGTTACCTGCTTCCGGTTCTAAGAGAGATCTTAGATATTGGACTCTGTCATCATCATCCTCACATGTTGACAAAGCAGCAATAGCTTCCGTCTTATGAGTACTATTTTTGGTAAAGTATCTACGTAGGGCCGTTTTGTCGCCTTTCGTGAGGGCAAGACGTGAAATTTCGGAGTACAGATCCATAGCTAGACAAGTGTTTCGTTTGTTTCGATGGGAAAGATATGCTGCGCGATGAGATCTGTTTAAATACCAACGTCGATCAGTGGCGTTTTCCCCTTGCAGAATGTGACCAATGATGGTTTGTGAAGTTTTATAACCACTTTGTTCAGAATTTTTATCAAATAACTTATTGAGCAATTTTCGCTTACCGAGTAGATGGTATTTTGATTTAATTTTATCGCTTGGAAAAGCGTGAGTTATAGTCCAGACTTGATTGTGCGTTTTATAAGCGTGATCAGCAGCAGTATAGCTCGCAGATTTCAATAGCGAAATTGAACATTGTGAGTGGGATTGTTATTTGTTTTTTGTAGATAATAAAATAATGCCGTTATTCACTGTGTTCGATTTATTTAGTAGATTTCATGTAGATCATTTTGCAATTCTAATATTACGCTAAGTCCGATTTATTATTTATATTTTATTGGACATAAAATACTGCGGTAGTTTAGAAATTAGTTATAAAAACGACCTTTCCTCACAGCTGAAATATTAAGCCGTTTGGTT